GGGGAGGAGGGGGAGAGGGCAAAGCAAACAGTTATAGAGAAAGCGTGCAAGTACGATCAACTTTGGTTTCTTCCTTCTCTTATTTTATCACAAATATCCGCGCAGGGTATCTGACGCATGAAAATAAAACAAATACGAACGCAAAAGAACTAGGTAAAGATAGAAAATGAAATTTTTAGAGCCAAGGCCACCAACGTCCGGTGGTGGTCTTTTTTCTACAAATGTTCAGATGATTTAATGAGGCGAGGTTACCCCCATCTGTTTATCACTACCAATCAATTAACCATCGCATCTTGTTGCATTGCTTTAGCTTATAGCTGACTACAACCTCAACGCGTGAGAAATTCGTAACTCACTGCGCGTCAGTATCAACATATAGGTATGCATAACTATCATCTACTTAGAATAAGTAGAGTGGGAGGGGGAAAGGAGGGGGGAAGAGAGCAAAGCAGACAGTTATAGTGAGAAAGCCTGCAAGGACGATCAACTTTCATTTTTTTCCTCTCTTATTCTATCACAATGTCTGCGCAGGGTATCTGACACATGAAAATAAAACAGATACGAAAACAAAAGAACTAGGTACAGATAGAAAATGAAATTGTTAGAGCGAAGGCCACCAACATCTGGTGGTAGCCTTTTTTTTAAAAACTTTCAGATAATTTAATGAGGCGAGGTTACTCCCATCCATTTATCACTACCAATCAATTAACCACCACACCTTGTTCCATTACCTTAGCTCATAGCTGACTACACCCACAACAAGTGAAAAATTAGATAATTCGTTACTCACTGCGCGTAAAATATCAACATACAGGTATGCATAACTATCATCTACTTACAATATGGTCAATTCTGGGTTGTTATCGAAGACTCCAGGCGGTAGCTCCTCTATCTGGTTGTCGCTCAAGTCCCTGAAAGGAAGATGTATCATTGAGTAAGGTCAAGTGTTTCACATCTTGTCCTGTTGTTGTATATTTCCTCTCTGTCCGCCCCCCCACTCCACCCCTCCTTCATCACCCCCTCGTAAAACGAAGAGTTGAAATGCTTACGATTTCGCTGTAGAAAAGGGCAAGTGCTGTGGAACTGACTGTAAATATTTTTCCCCACATTCAACGCGTGTAACTGAGCGCATAATTCCAACTGCAGTGGTACATTGGCAGCGATCTGGGCACCCTAGAATATAAAAAATAAGATATAGTTTTTGCGACAATTTTCTGTAAAAACGTTTTGGACACTCGATACATTTCCAGAGCCAGTCAATGTTTAGCAATTTGTGTGATGTTTACAGCACCATGACTATTTTGATTTTTTGCCATTAGTTGTGATCAGTTGTATCAGGCTACTAGTTCCAAGCCGTCTTTATAAGCAAAACACTGGCTAATGGTATTGCATAACGGTTTTGTCCGCGCGGGGGTTTGCACTCGCTCTACAGGTTCAAGTCATCAGATTTTGCGACGGTTCCATTGGATTTTGTGTGCCACGTAGATATTTAAGAGTCAAAGAGGGAAGGAAGGAGGAGGAATTTAGAAGTTATCCATTGTATTATACAAATACACTGAAATTTCCGCTTGAATGGCTGCGTTTTGAACCCTGCAACGTCCGTTTAAAGGCGTCTCTCTGAACAATAGAGTGAAATATAAACGGATAAGTGTATTACTCACAGTACAGTTAACTCGGTGTTGTTAGCGAAGACTCCAGGTGGTAGCTCTTTTATTTGGTTGTCATCCAAGTCACTACAAAGAGGACATATTCTTGATCTAAAGTTCTTACTGGGTTATTAAAACTAGACTTTTTAAACCCTGATAAAACTAAGAGACCACATCATACTTTCATTATCTAACTAGAAGGTAATTAATGCAAACTTACTTCCGGGTAACTTAGTAAGGCTTCCGGTAACCAGCAATATTTCAGGTACATAAGAACGATTAGTTTTTAAGCTTTAATTCTCAACTTTAAGGAACGCCATGGCATATTTCATGAGCTCTTGGGCACTTAAAGTTTGGAACCAAGATTTTGTAAATACGCGAGCTGAGATATTTTATACGTGTGATTAGGTTTGTAAGAGTCGATTAAATATGTCTTGGAATAAGCAATGCATGTTTTTTACTTACAGTCGAATCAACTTGGTGTTGTAGCTGAAGACTCCAGGTGGTAGCTGGGCTATCTGATTCCTATATAAGTACCTATTCAAAGAATATACCAAAAGTTGTAGGTTTTACCTAAGTTTGTGAACCAATCAAAGTCAACTTGTGTTGAAAATACTTAGAAGGTGTTCTAGGTTAGTCATGCAATAGAGACTCAATCAATAGCGTGTTCTATGCGGGGATGAGATAATTACTAATGTGATTGTTCACATCAACATATTTGCTGTGATCCTTGCAGCTTGCTTGTGTTCTGTCAGTCATCCACTGCAAGTTTTATGAGTCTTGCTGATAATGAAGTAAGACGATTGAACAGGTAATACCTGTCCTTGAACATAAGTTGATTCTTGAAGCTCAAAGTTTTCCTCGTGCCTCGCTCTCTGTTCATTTTCGCAACAGGTAATGGACAAATATCGGAGAATTCCTTCCGGCCGAATGGAAGCTATTGCTGATATCATTATGATTAATGGCTAATGATCGCTGTCTGTTGAAACACTTCAGGTGTGAGCTCCTCTATCAGGTTATCTTAAGTCTGTAGATTGAAAGTTAAAAAGCTCCCCCTCTCCATTAAGCCCCCCCTCCCCCTCCCCCAAACCAAGCATGGTCCATGCCAAAGTCTGTTACCTAGATTGCAAGCGTTTCACCAAGAGGAGGAAGCGTTCGATCCTTTCGAGTACACTATTGTTTCAGAAGAAGAGATGGCTCAAGAAAACGTCGCACACCTTATTTTGGATGAGGATGATGAGGATGAAATCCTTCTGTNCTACCAATCAATTAACCATCGCATCTTGTTCCATTGCCTTAGCTCCTAGCTGACTACACCCTCAACGCGTGAGAAATTAGGTAATTCGTAACTCACTGCTTGTCAATATCAACATACAGGTATGCATAACTATCATCTACTTAGAATAAGTAGAGTGGGAGGGGGAAGGGGGGGGGGAGCAAAGCAAACAGTTATAGAGAGAAAGCCTGCAAGGACGATCAACTTTCGTTTGTTTCCTCTCTTATTCTATCACAATATCTGCGCAGGGTATCTGACACATGAAAATAAAACAAATACGAAAACAAAGAACTAGGTACAGATAGAAAATGAAATTGTTAGAGCGAAGGCCACCAACATCCGGTGGTAGCCTTGTTTTTAAAAATTTTCAGATAATTTAATGAGGCGAGGTTACTCCCATCTGTTTATCACTACCAATCAATTAACCACCGCACCTTGTTCCATTGCCTTAGCTCATAGCTGACTACACCCACAACGCGTGAGAAATTAGATAATTCGTAACTCACTGCGCGTCAATATCAACATACAGGTATGCATAACTATCATCTACTTAGAATAAGTAGAGTGGGAGGGGGAAGGGGGGGGGGAAGAGAGCAAAGCAAACTGTTATAGAGAGAAAGCCTGTAAGGACGATCACCTTTCGTTTTTTCCCTCTCTTATTTTATCACAATATCCGCGCAGGGTATCTGACGCAAGAAAATAAAACAACCACGAAAACAAAAGAAATAGGTAAAGATAGAAAATGAAATTGTTAGAGCCAATGCCACCAAAGTCCGGTGGTAGCCTCTTTTTTTTACAAATGTTCAGATGATTTAACGAGGCCAGGTTACTCCCATCTGTTTATCACTACCAATCAATTAACCATCGCACATTGTTCCATTGCCTTAGCTCATAGCTGACTACACCCACAACAATTGAGAAATTAGGTAATTCGTAACTCACTGCGCGTCAATATCAACATACATGTATGCATAACTATCATGTACTTACAATATGGTCAATTCTGGGTTGTTATCGAAGACTCCAGGTGGTAGCTCCTCTATCTGGTTGTAACTCAAGTCCCTGAAAGGAGGATGTATCATTGAGTGAGGTCGAGTGTTTCACATATTGTCCTGTTGTTATATATTTCCTCTCTGTCCGCCTCCCCCCCCCCTCTCCTTCATCACCTCCTTGTAAAACGAAGAGTTGAAATGCTTACAATTTCGCTGTAGAAAAGGGCAAGTCTCTCACACGAGTTTTTGAGGACAGGCCTGAGTAACTACGAATTTCTCTATCAGCCCTTCAAACGAAAAAAGTGGAGAGGTAGTAATAAATAATTTTCATGTTTGAATTCCAAGGACGCAAAATATGTTTCTTTTTTCCTGTGGAATTGAAATATCATCCTTCACTCGGTTTTTTAGATATCATAATTCACTGTCATTTGATCTTATCTTTCTTCGTACATTTCAAATATCAAAAAGAAATAAATACCTGAAATATATTTTCGCTCCTCCGTCACTTTGATTCAGATCGAGTGCCTTAAAACAGCAATGACGTCATACACAAAAAGCAGGCTGCATACGGCTTTTCCAGATCATTATCTTAAAAATACATTCTTATGAGTGAGTTTTCATTTCATTCATTTCAAGTCACTATGGAAGACATCCTCAAACATCTGTGTTATAACGTCAGCAATTGTGCCTTTAGCTGGTTTTGCATTTATATAAATATAAAAGGTTTTGTCAATTTTACATGGCGTGAGTCACCAGCTTATTACAGTTTGACAACGAAAAAAAAAATCATTAACATTTTATCCGAGAGGCTTCTTAAGGGTTTTTCAGTAAGTTAGAAAACATATCAATAGAGACAATACAGTAAAACCAGCAAACTTAGGAAAGTTTAATTGATCATTTTGAGGTATGATGTCGCCATGGAGATAGATTAAGTCTTTTATTCTAAAATATACTGAAGATGTTAGCCGAGTTTATGAACTAGACCCAGTTTTCTTGCCTTACGTCCAAACATATTTAACACAGATTTTGAAATCCCATGTATGATTTGGGACCAATTTGCACTCCACTTCCATTACCATTATTAGGCAAGATGCGACACAGTGATCACGAAAGAGAAAATGATAACACAGTTTACATCTCATTGCTAACAACTACAATAACAAAAACATGATTTACACTTAAAAGGTCTTTGAAATCACACTTGGAGAACAGATGTTATGCCTCGATCAATTCAAAGCTTCAACATCGCCTCTTGTGGGCCAAAATACGTACTAATGCCCGACCCAACTGCCGGATATCAAGGTAATCTTTTTTTTCGGGAGGGGGGGAGGGAGATAAAAGGTAAGATCAGCGACAGCAACCCAATCCTCCCTTGTTTTTGTACTCCCCTACTACTGTCGCACAGTTTAATATCACGTTTCCTTTTACCAACTGAACACCTTCAACTGGCCATATTTTTTACGTGAGGCTTTCTAACATAAATGAACACAGTACGCATCTTCTGATTGGTCAGTTCAGTTTCCAAGCGGATGCTTTATTAAAGGGGCCCGCATTTGATCGGTGACAACTACTTATGTCATAAGAGCAATGAAAAACTTTTTACCGGGCTCTAAAACACGATCAAATAACTGGGAATGCGAGAAGAGACGAAGGCGAGTGATTTTCAAACTTCTTTTTTAAAGTTTTTTAATTAGGTTCTTACAGCTTCTTTTGAAAGCCTCTCTTTTTCAAAACTTTCTTTTCCGTTAAAACCAGCTGATCACATATTTGAGAACACAGATATCTCAGCGCTAAAACGTTTACCACTCATTTATGTAGTTAGAAAACACTTCTCGAAACTGACTTTGAATTCAGGGCTGTACAGGACAACATCGAATTGAACTTAACAAATAATTTACACTATCTTTGAGGCTTTTCCTGGTAAAGAGAGTTATCACATTAAAAAAAAAAGTGTGCTAAACTAGTAGGTTAAATTTGAGTAAAGCCGTACTTTCGGCCTCCTCCGCAGCCATGGACAACTCTAAATCACCAAGAGATTCTTCATCCAACCACTCAGAAACTTCCCCTTTTGATAAAATTTTTCCCTTGCATTATGATCGCAATAATCCTCAAGTAATACCCCACCACACATATACTTTTCACTCATCCTGGCTTCTGTTTCATCCTGCCAAATCGCATAATTTGGTGAGAGGTCAATTCTAGCCGTTTTATTTATTTTGGTTTTGTTGCTTCTCTCGTCTGATAACTTCCATATTTCGTTCGTGTAATTCTCATTATCGTGACAAGATTGTCACGAATGCTTCTTGTGATCCCTAAGGCTTCTTGTATGTGAAACTGCACCCTCGCTATCACAACTGTGATGTGGAATCTGAAGCTCAAGCAGTAATGCATCGTCCAAGTCATTACCGAAGTCACAATCAACCAACTTTAGGTTGCGTAACACAACCACTATTGTCAAATTGCGTTACATCTTGTTTATTTCTTGGGACACAATCTTCGTTCGTGTTGTTCTCGTTTGTATTCAGCATTTTTTCCATTTCATCATTCTTAGAATCATTTAGCCTCTGCTCGCATTCAGATAACAACTTACAAAGCTCTTGGTCATCAAAATCATTACTTGAAAACTCGTCAAACTGAAAAATGAAAATAAACGGTTTTGAAAGATTTTTAAATGAATTAACAAAAGAGCTATGGGATTAATCAGTGTAAACTACACTTCATGAATCGTATTCAAATTTTTTACACAGGAGAGTGATTATTCAATTACCTCAAAACTTGACAACGGATTGATTTCCTGTGGTATAGGCTTTTCTGAAAGTAACCACACGATAAATGGTTTGCAAATTGCTTTTTTTGAACATACGACAATAGGCTATGACTAGTTTATATGGTAAAAAGTCTTTTATCCCCTCAATGCTTCCACAAATAGCGCAACCGATAAAGCTTTCCCAATGTTTGGGTAATTAATGGATGAATGTGAAATTTAGTTAGGCCCTTCTCGCCGTTAGGAATAGACTCCAGACTTCTCCCCGATTATTTTTTTTCCG